AAAAAACAAGCAAATGTGATTTTATCTGACGTTTTCTAAAATAATGCAAAACATTAAATATTACAAATGTATCAATTTATGAAACTCACGAAAAACATAACTTTTACAAAGCAAAGCAAGTTATAAAAAAATATTTTTTCTTCTTATAATGTACATGTATAAACTATATTATACGGGAGGCGTTCAACTAACAAAATAATTTCAAAAACACATAATTCACGGGTTCTATTTCTTTCCTCAAATATTATATTTCTCTCTATTTTCACACATTTAGATAAAAATCAAATATTCAGTATGGTTAAGTCAGACACGATGTTAAGGTTTGATTTCACTTTAGGAAACGAAGGACAGCGCTATAGAATCAGCCACAAAGTAGTAGACTTTATAATTTCCTTGTCGGTTTCTAGTTTTTTCGTTTCTATATTGTTTGAATTGGCACCTATCCGTTTTTTGCTATTGTGCCCTGTCCTGTTTTTATTGTGTCCTGCTTGGCTTTTTGAGGTAGCCCTGTGTTGCCGGATCGTGTGTGGATGCTTCATTAAATGCCACCCTTCCTTGTTGACCATACTTTTCATATTTTATGAAAATATATCAAATAATACTATTTGCTATATTTATATTCAGCGTTCTGTTGTCTTTGCTGTATAGGAATGCCACCGTTTAAACAAAAGCGATTATTGATCATATGTGTCGCCTGATGATAGCCAATTGGATCATACACAGCTTTTCATGGAATGACACAAATGTGTCACTTTGAAGGTTCTATAAACCGTAAATGAACATATCAGTGGATTTAACAACATTTCACAACTTCATCTTTAAATGTTGAATTCTACTTAAGCCACAGTAAAATTGAAACATGAAATGGAGAAAAGAAACCCTAACGAACGTTTGAAACGGCATAATTGAAAAAAAACTGCAGACTCTGCTGATTGATCCTGTTTATTGTTTAAAAATATTTTAATGCCTTAGCATTGTAGAATAATTTAATAGATCTCATTATGAGAATTTGTTGCACTAAGATGTGAGAAAAATATATAATATTCAATAATAAAACAAGAATTTGTAACAGAGTTACCAACGTCCCCCGCCTCAGGGAAGTTTTATATGAAGCATAAAATTGTGCTATCTCAGCTATGGATCTCAGGACATTCAGTCCAAAATTATGATCAATGCTAGATCTGCAAATGCAACAATAAATTTATTAAAGAAATAAAATGAAACACGGAATTTAAAAATCTATCATGTTAAGCTTTGAGCTCTTAAGTGTGACCTTGACCTTTGAGGTAGGGATGCAGGTGTTGCGCATGACATATCGTCTTATTATTATTAGTAGTAGTATTATTATCACTATTTGTGCCAAGTATTTTCAAAATTCCTTAAGCTATGAAGATGTTATAGGTTGGACACAAAATATACCCTGTAACAGACTATGCTAATCTTTGAATCTTGACCTCTGAGTGTGACCTTGCAGGTAGGGACCGACATATCGTCTTATTATTGTGATTATTTGTGCCAAGTATTTTTAAAATCCCGTTATCTATGAAGAAGTAATGGACGGCACACAAAATATACCATATAACAGACTCCGTTAACCTTTGACCTCTAAGTGTGACCTTGACCTTGGAGGTAGGGGTGCAGGTGTTATAATACTTGACAAATTGTCTTATTATTGTGACTATTTGTGCCAAGTTATTTCAAAATCCCTTGAACTATGAAGAAGTTCTAGATCGGACACAAAATATACCCTATGACAGACTATGTTAATTTTTTACCTATAAGTGTGACCTTGACCTTGGAGGTAGGGATGCAGGTGTTGCGCAAGACACATCGTCTTATTATAATGACTATTTGTGCCAAGTATTTTCAAAATCTTTTGTTCTATGAAAAAGTTATGGACCGAACACAAAATATACCCTAAAACAGACCATTTTAATCTTTGACCTCCAAGTATGACCATGACCTTGGAGGTAGGTGACCGGTTTTGCGAATGACATGTAATCTCATTATTGTTAACAATTGTTGCAAGTATTTACATAATCCCTTCAAAATTAAGAAAGTTATGGACCGGACACGACATATACCCTCAAATAGTTCGACCTTGACCCTGGAGGTAGGGGTCTGGTTGTTGCGCATGACACATCGTCTTATTATAACAAACATTTGTGCCAAGTTATTTCAAATTCATTTCATAGATGACAAAGTTATGGATCGGACACGTAAGTGTGACGGAGGGACGTTCAAACGGGACAGTAATAATGTGGCTTCTCTATTGTTCTTTTTGGCCACACATAAAAGCGTTACGGAATGAATGACATCAAAGAGAAAGAACAGATACCTATTGTCCCTTTAGCCACATTATTACTGTCCCGTGAGAGCGGACAGACAGACGGACGGACAGACGAAGCCTATTTGTATATCTCCCTTTTTCTTCGAAAAGGCGGGGGCAAATTAACACCTCCCATGAATTGTCATATCTAAAACAGCGTTAATGAAGCACTAGTGTTATAATATATACATGAAATTATTCAAAATATGAAAGGAAATATAAACAAGAGAATGCGACATTTACCGGACGTAGCCGCTGTTTCTCTTTTGAGACGCTGTGTATCACTAACATTTTGACGTAAACCAGACAGTAATTGTCTCTGCTTCTTCCGTACATTAAAAAACACATAAATCAGATAAAATACAAAATGGGTACTAATAGCATTATTTGTCCATTATGCCATGCACCGACTACCAGCATTTCCTATAGACGTTATTTCGAACTGACTCAAAGGATAAATCCGTTGACATTGCCATAATTCATTTCTATGCACAGGAACAAAAAAGCGTTCATTTTGATTACATATAATTCGTACGGTAACGTCTTAACAATGTCACCAGTGTGGTGTCCGACTTCTTTTCAAAATTATGATGAACAGTTCCAAATTCATTGCAGAACATGTCCATTATACTTATTAAATTAAAGGCCTGAAGGGCCATAATGGCTTACATATCTGCGGATGTTTCTAAAATCAAACTTTGCCATTTCATGAATAAATGTTGAATTCCGCTTAAGCCGGTGCTATGGGGCGTGGACGGTAACTTGCACTTACTTGCACCTTCCATGATTAGGCTCAAACAAACCGAGCTTGCAAAATTTTCAATTTGCCGTGTTGGGCTTTCTTTAGAGATTCTTATTTTTCTCTATTTTTACAGGTTTGGTATGATTATAAAGTGGACGTTCATAGCATCATATGTCCTGAATTTGCTCCTTTGCTTTACTCAAAAGAGTTGTATGCAGCAGGCTTCCAGTTTATCACCAATATTTGTCGTTGCTTTTGGATTATGAGCTGGCTGTGCTATGTGAACGTTTGTGTTGTACTAATGTTACCACTTAGGGAGGTTCATTATTAGAATATACGTACATGTAGTCCTTCTGCATCTTAAAATCCAATTCATTTAACCTTACATATGTAAGGAAAAAAACATAACAAGTCCTTAAATAAACACACACCTACAGACGTTTAAGGATTATGCAATTCATTTAAACGATTATATTCTTGCATGTATTTTTACATAATGTTCAAACAACCACAAAATATGTTAATCAAGATCAACAAGGAACGCCGGCGTTCAATGAACGCAACACATGATTACATTTAAATTGTCTCTTTTTACAGCTACGTTATATATGCTACAAAGTAACAACCAAAATATAAATTATAAAAATTCGAAATTCCATTTGTTTAATCTATCTAATATACATTCCAATTCTAGGTCATATTAAATAGACATGATTTTTACAGTATTTTTCTGGTAACAAAGAAATAGGGAAAAACAGAATCTTTAAAGAACGTCCAAAACAACAAAATTTAAAATATTGCCGGCTCGGTTTGATTGAGCCTCTTCGTGGATTGTACTGGTAAGTGCAAGTTACAAGTTAAAGTTATAATACCGTTCAACGATGATATTTTACCCTACAACTTAGTTTTCAGAAATTATCACCTAAATCATAAGTATATCCTCATTAATGATGAACTGCTATACAATTTTAATCTTATTTCGCCGAAACACTCGGATGCAACTGGATATAATATCGCCAGTTTTTGAAATCCCCGCCATTTGTAAAAGCTCTCGGGCCCGATCGGTTTCATTCGGAATTAACTCATTTGCATACGGAAAAGTTCGGAAATGCTATAATTAGAAACAAGTTCGGAAACGCTATAATTAGAAACGTCAACAAACTTGCGACCCCGATATTAGGAGATATATAATATAAATGACGGATGCAATTTTATTTGATGTTTTGTAATTAATAAACGATATGAAAAGCTATTTATTAGCTAAGGAATGTAGCTTATATCCTCGTAACGCGTTACGAAACAATCGGAAAAAGAACAAAGTCTGAGACTCTCACTAGATCTACAGTAAACAAGAAGATGGAGCGTTGGTCATGTCTATGTCGTACGGTTGCTGTGGTTATTTGAAATCGGTAAATTAGCCGTTCTTTATGATCGGTTCGTACCAGAAATAATACGTACCTATTGCCAAGCTTCCATCGTAGTAATATGGCATACAGTAGTGTGCGTCATGTAAATATTATGAAACACAGACACTTGGGCTTTGGTGCTCAATCTGTATTATATTATAGATGTTGAAATATGAATTTTTTTCAAAATGGCTTATATTAAGTTTTTTTTTTATTTTAAAGGCGTTTTGAGCTCCAAACCCAAGTGTCTGTGTTAGGAAATTATAATGAAAAGAAATATAATTTGGCAATCTGGTGTAATAACCTGTATAGGGTGTTACCAGATTAAATAACCAGTCAACTGCATGCAAAAGCCAATACATATTTAACATCTACAGACTCAACCGTTTGATATATGATAATGTATAATTATACTTCAATTTATAAGCAAACCAGAATGGAAAAAGGACCAAGTTAAAGTTCTGATGCCTATAATTTTGAAAATGATCACTCAAGACCTGTTTTTTATGTTAGCCTTTTGTAAAAGTGCACATTATGGAAAATAATGTACTAATGAGAATTTCATTCCAATACAAACACAGTGCAACCTGTGTAAATATTATTCTGTTAACAATGAACAGTTGCATTCCACTGAAAATAAGATTGCCAAGAATTAAATCCTAATCTCTGGATTATGTACACCGGTATGGCATAAAACCATAAATTTCACCACTTTATGTTCAAATGTTGAATTCTGCTAAAGCTGGTGCTAGGGGGGCATGGAAGGTAACTTGCACTTTCCAACAGGCTCACCAAATAGAGCCTGCAACAGTTTCAATTTTGTCATTTTGGGCTTTCTGCAGGAATTCTTTATTTCTCTATTTTCTGATGTCAAATGTACTTTTTTAAAATTCAAATAAGATCACAGATTGTAACAATGTTTTACAAATACCTTTCAATGTTAATTTACACTTCACTTCTCTTAGCACGTTTCAGGACACATTTTGGAATGTTGTTAAAATAACAAAAACACAGATAAATTGAAACATGTATTTGAACATTGGCAGTAAAACAACAATAAAATATTTTCAAATGAACAGCATATCTTCTTTTTCTTACCCTTAAAATTGTACACCAGTGACTTCTTTACAGTTATAGTTTTATTTTTTATTCAATCCATGCTGTCTTAACAGGAAGAGAAAGTGTGAAGATGGCCAATATTGTAGAAGGAAATAAATAATATCTTAATTCCAACAAAATTGTATGAACTTGAGCTAACCCCTTATGGGTTTCTGGTGATGAAGGATATTATGCTTAAGCCATTGTGACCTTAGACCTTATTAACTCCAAACTAATGCTTAATTACTAATCTAAGCAATGTCCCTGGAAATGTTCAAAACCTTGGGACAATGAGTTTACATGTCACTGAGACCTTGAACTTATAATCAAATGGACCAATCTTAAAACTAATGGCATTCAGAATTTTTCCTTGTGAGTTACATAAACTATACCTTACAATGTTACACATATTTAAAGGAAGTTAAACTTTATGCCATCTTGAGATTTAAATCTAATTACCTCAAAATCAGTTGGTGCCATTATCTGGGGAAGGGCAATGTTCCTACCAAGCCTAAAAACTTAGGCTTACCCCTGAATGTAAAATATTGTTTGTTCCCCACTCCCGCGACCTACCTACAAATAGCACAGCTACCTAAAATATCTTATTGCCCAGGATTTGTTTACTAAAATGAAATCAGAGTGTCAATGAGAATGACATCTTTTTAACTGTCTCGTGATTTCTTAATTGTAAATATACAAATGTTGGGATATTTGTTGATTGAAACTGAAAATATGGTTCTAAATTTTCAAGTAAAACAGATGCTTTCATGCACACAATTTGTTTGAACTACATATAATTTTAATGAAAAATAAAACAAGACAAACATTTTGAATAACTAGGAATGTGTCCATAGGACACGGGTCCCCCCTACGCGCCACTGTTCTGTCAATCTTATGACTCTAGGTCAAATATTTTTTGAAAACTTTACTAAGTAAAGGGCAAGAACTTTACAAATACTGAATAAATTCACAAGTAAACCCCAAGGTGCATAAGTACACATGCTGACCAACATTCTTTTCAACATTCAGGCCTACAAGTGAAATACTTTTTGAGCTATGCATGAACAAGTTGAAAATTGTAAATTATTCGATAAATTAAAGTGAACCTGTAGTAGCCACTCCTATATTGTCTTTCTTATTTATATTTTATCCCTGTAGGATATTAATTATGGAGTTAAATGATAAATTATTTATGTTTGGCTGAATGAAATGAAAGAAAACATAAATACTTTTTGAGCTATGCATGAACAAGTTGAAAATTGTAAATTTATACTACTGTAAGTCAAGGGCAATAACTCTAACAAAACTGAAAAAAATCCACATGAAAGTCCCAGGTTCATATCTTCACAGTGATGTAAATCATTATTCCTGTAATTTAGTGATGTTGATCATTATTCCTGTAAAGTTGGTTGATTCTCACTCAAGCACTCAAGGAACAAATAACAACATAATGAAATGTTTTTTACTAAGTCAAGGGAAATAACTCTACAAATACTGGATAAATCCACAAGCCAAACCCCAGGTGCAAAACTAAATATGCTGAGCAACCTTCCCGTAAGGTTTAATGACTCTATGTCAAATCCTTTTTGAGTTACATGTGACACAAGTTGAAAACTGCAAAATTTTACCAAGTCAAGGGCAATAACTCTAAAAATCCTAAATAATTCCAGACGAAAATACCCAGATGCGCAACTACACATGCTGATCAACATTCCTGTAAAGTTTCATGACTCTAAGTCAAATACTTTTTGAGTTACATGCCACACAAGTTGAAAATTGCAAAATTTTACTAAGTCAAGGGCCATAACTCTCAAAATACTAAATCCAGACGAAAATACCTAGGTGCACAACTACACATAATGTTCAACATTCCTGTAAAGTTTCATTGCTGTAGGTCAAATACTTCTTGAGTAACATGCGACACAAGTTGAAAATTGCAAAAATTCAATGGCAGTAACTCTGAAAATACTAAAAATATCCAGATGAAAATACCAAGGTGAACAACTACACTTGCTGATCAACATTACAGTAAAGTTTCATGACTCTAGGTGAAATACGGACGGACGGACAAGGGTAAATCTAAATGCCCGCCACTAAAGTGGGGGCACAAAAATAAATATTTTATCAGCCCACCTATCCTATCTAAACTGGAATGGGATGAGGGAGTAAATACAAAGATAATTTTAAGGCTTGCCTTGTTTGATTGAACAAGGATTTTATATAAAATGCCCCTGTGTCATTGGTCTAATAAACTAGATTGGACTACAAACAATTCATGAACTAATAACAACTAGATCTCCGCGAGTCGGATGTGTTGCCTTGTGAACAATATAGTTTAGGAGAAATGGCCAAGACAAAAATGAAATATGAAAATTAACAAAGGGCAATAAAGTTAAAGCCACTAATAGCAAATAACAAGCAAAGCCAAAATTTAGACATTTAACCTTGAAGGTCAAGGTCAATTATGAAAGAAGGCCAAGGTTAGACAATACACCAAGAACTTTAAAAGTTATGAACAAGGTTCAAGTTTGCAGAAGGCAACGGCAGCAACCTCTATTTCTTTTTTCAAAAAAAGAAAAAAAGAAAAGCTGAGCTAAAGTGAATGACATAGTACATGTATATCAAAAGATATAATTGAATAATACTTTTAACTTTGTTACTACATTAAAGCTCATAGCAGCACTTATACTTTAATAGATTGGATAATATTTTGCACTTGTATAAAAAGTAGTCATTTTTCTGACAAAATATTAAAAACAGACCTTGAGTCATGACAAATGAATCAAGAGAATTTTTTTCGAAACAAGATAGATACAGTGCCATATCTAAAAAGATATTTCATAAAACTATCATGAATACCAGGTGTTCAATGTCAGCTTAAATATGTTTGAATAGTTGGGCAATCAGTGTAACACAACACTATTTATCATTCTTTCCCATAAAAAGTCAATCATATCTTGATTTATGTTCCTCATGAATGGCTCGGGTAGGCTTCGGGCTAACTTGGGCCAAATATTTTGAAAGTCTGTGGGGGTCATCTTCCTCTAACTTTCTATTTTATATATCCCCTCCATGTCACTAATTCTCAGAGTTATAGCATCATGAAAAATGGTATAATGATACTTTTTCTTCTTCTTTAATTCATCCAGACTCGCTGAAGTCTGAAATGAGAAATTAACAAGCCTGTTATAACAAAAATCATAAGTGTATACAATTCTCAAAATGCATTACATGTAATTATGTCCTCAAAATTTATTAGTCAGGTTATTCAGAGACTGCAAAATCTCTTTTGATTGAAATTAATATTATATAGGTAATATAAATGCATAGTGATCACACTTTCAATAAAAATATCTTATAATTCATAGAGGCAGGAACATTTAATACTAAGATATGCAGCATTTATATTCATATGCAAAAATGAAAAAAAAAAATGTTGAGAATCTATATGCCCAAAGAAGATAAAGCACAACATTTTATTTAGGTTTTGCCTCTTTATATGTTTGAAGAACTGAAATCTTTCTATTGAAATAAACAAAGAAACATGCTACATCCATATTAGACTCAGTACAGAGTACATCTATGTTGAACATTATTATAGTTCTAAACAATTCACTTTATTAACACAAACTGGACACTGTTTTCTTTCATTCTGTAAAATTGTGAAACATTACATGTTGGAGTTTTGTAAGTAGCATACCTAACAGATCCCCCTTGTTGGTGATGTATGGTCTATTTGCATGTATATTATAATCTATGGCTGCAAGAAGATTGTGCATCCTATAAACAGGTGGTGTGTAAGCAAATCTTTTGTACAATACATCAAGATGTGCTGGTGAAACCCCTACATGCCAGCTGTACTTCTAAAAATGAATACAAATAATGGAAAGATATTTTCATTTAAATGATTTTAGTAAGGAAAAATCCTTTAACATTAACATATTCATATGCTAGATATAATCTCTGTATGTAAATAATTATCTTTGAAAAGATTTTACACAGCTCTATCCTTCAATTGATAAGTGCAATAAAGGTGCCAATTAATTTATACATAATGGTTGTAGGTCCATTTGCGTTAACATATAAAGGTGCTGTAAACATTGAACATTCTATAATCAAATAGACATATGAGCTTTGTATTAATCAGGACATATACTCCTTTCCAGTTAGGAAAATAAATCCTTTTAAAAATTTCACTCCAAACTGCTAGCATATCTTTACAAAGATAGACATATCTCCTTTGCAGAATTAATGGTTCCAACATTGGAGCCATTGGCTTCAACTTTTTTGATTGGCCAATCTGGTGGTGCAAACTAAAATTGCTCCAGGGGGAACCCTGTCAATATAAATTTCTTTTTTTGTACCTGATGAGAACATACCTGCAGTCATCTTATTCAGAACACCAGCCAGATCTTTCAGACTATGTGCATCTTATTTCCTTTGCAGTCATGGTTTGTTCTGGTTTCTAATGGGCCATGATTGTACTAGGCATTGGTGTATTCCATCATCTGAAAACAGAATCCATTCATGCTCAATAACTATAAGATTGATGCAGACACTAAAATATATTATTCCCTGAAATAAAATGTCAAGACAAATAAGCATGCATTAAAAATGGCAAAGAAGTCAGCCTTCAACAAGTTTTATGAAACATTACTAAGCATTTCACATTTATTTTACATATAAAATGCTTACCATAAACCTATGAAGTATTCCACATTATGCATCAAAACATCTTGCATGCATTAATTTTCTTGCAACAAATGACAATTATGTATTGCTATCTAGAATTTTATCTAAATATTTCTTGAGCAACAGAATAATCATATAAAAATATCAAACATTCAAACAAAATCAAATATATAATAATTGTTTACTTACCATGAATAGTTTATAGTCTGTAGCAGTTTTATAACTAAACCAGAAATGAATGGTTGTGTCTCAATTCAACTCCAAAAGGATTTTATTGGCTTTCTTTAGTGCTACCTGAAGATTAAACCATAACTTGCTTAAGATTTAGAAGAAAAAAAATCAATTGTGGAATTCCTTTTCATTTTAGCGAAAAATATTCTACATAAGAATTGTATATATTCAGTCTTCACCAACATTTACTATAGGACATGAATCTGCCCTTGTTATTAACAACAAATACAGCAGTATTGCATGCAGTGATAACACCAGTCTATTAAAAATTCTTAGTTTAAAAGGGATAATTATAACTTAAAAAAATATTGCTTTCACAGTCATTGAATTTAAGATTTTGAATTCACTGGCCCCAATTCCAGTTTTGAATTTATTCTACTATATATTTAACTACATTTTCTTAAAATTTACACTGGCCCAAACTAATTTTCACTGGCCATGGGCCACCGGGCCAGTGCTTAATTCAATGACTGCTTTCATAAGAACATGTATGCTCCCCTGTTTAACAATTACACTTTGTCCTGATAAGCAAGTCTTTCAAGTTTCATGTTGATACATTTCAAAATATTTAAATAATGCAATTGTATGCCAACATAGCAATCTGACATAGAATACATGTAATAGCTTTGAAAAAAAAAAAGCTAGAAATTAGTAATTCATGATGTTTGATTGTAACTAAGAAAGTATACTCCACTTTTGAGGAATCTTTAACTATTTTGTTGTATGGTCTGAGAATTGACTACATAACAGAATCCTTTCCAAAAACCATATATGAGCCGCGTCACGACAAAACCAACATAGTGCGTTTGCGACCAGCATGCGCATCCGCGCAGTCTGATCAGGATCCATGCTGTTCGCTATCCATTTCTCTACTTGTTATAGGGTTTGTAAGCGAACAACATGGATCCTGATCAGACTGCGCGGATGCGCAGGCTGGTCTGGATCCATGCTGGTCGCAAAACCATTATGTTGGTTTTGTCATGACGCGGCTCATATATATTTTTTCACAAGTGGATTTAAGACCTATAATGACCCTCTATTATTTTTTCACCTCAGTGAACAATTATCTATAATAATATTATGGAGTCATACAAATATCAAACTCATCATTTAAGATGACACCAAAATCTTTCAATTGGACCAAAATTAACCATGTAATGCATGTTTTTTTTTCTTCTTCTAATACAGTATTATATGCCACTTAAAAAATGTCATTATTGTTTAATATTTAAATCATATGAATATCTGATCATGATATATATGGATCACATGTTGACATGTATATATCCACTATTTGGTTCAATAAACTAATAAAAAACATGAATTCAGCAGTATTTAAGATTAATCAGTTTTTATATGAATTATATAAGTAAATTAGTTATGCAAGTATATAGTTATATATAGCAATTTTGAAAGGTATTATTATAACCTGTCACTTTCGACAAAAATGGTGTACTTACTCTCCTCTGCATATGCACTGAAGTCCAGGTCATCTTTGATGTCCCTGGTAGTGGTATTGCAACACATGATGACGATGAAATTGATTTAATTCTGTAATTGAAAATATAGCATACTAGTACCATGGCCTAAAATCTTGACTATTCAAACCAATTACAATACATGAATTGCTGCACTGCTTATAAGGAAGAAGGTTTGTCAATAAGAATTATCTAACAATTCCAGCACAATTATGGTTATTGTCCATGATTATTTTTCAAATTGTGAAATGCTGAAATTTTACTGCAAAAATGATTCAAATGAGACAACAATATTGATTTTTGTGCGATTTTCCAGACAACATTTTATTTTTTCTACTTTATTTCTTTGAAGAGTCAACAAGCCTGGATAGTAGATCAATATATCAGACTTACGGGCTTGTTATTGCTTAAATGTCAGTCAAGGTTGCCCAAAAGCAAAAATATCTCAAAATCAAAGGACGTCACATTTATAGGACTACCCTTGATAGTTGAACATGCTTTGAAGAAATGTCTGTTCTGCTAGTCAATAGTTCTAACCCTTTTTGAGACACATGTGTCTAATCTATTTCACAGCATTGTAGTTACTATACAGTACAGCTTACAGTAAAAAACAATAATGTAATTGGAAAAAAAAAAGGAAGTGGCTAGCCGTACGGGCCCGTATGGCTAGCCAAAAGTTCTAGCCGTACGTGAGTCACGTACGACTAGCCAGGACACACTGTATTGGCTAGCCGTACGGCACTTTTAAAAATTATATGGAAGTCGAAAATGCATATGTTGTTTTATGACTTTAAGCGAGGATTTTAACCAAGAAACAGCAGTTTACTTTTAAGAGATTAATCGCCTTGTTGGCTATAGTAAGAAAGTACGAATACATATTTTTGTCATCTCAAGACGTCGAGAAAAATAGATTTTGGTTGCAGATTTAAAATAACATCAATTGAAATAATTTACAAAATTTTGATAATAATCCTTTTTTGTCTCATTATGTTTAATTTTCAAATTGAAAAAAAAAAAAAAAAAAAAACCACCAAAAATAATTGTTGTTGGGCTCTGATAATTGCGACAATTACCGACGGTATAGAAATTTTTCCATCATTAAGGAAAGTTTGCATGTTCCGTGAAACGCATTCTAAAATTCTATTGTCAGTCACTAGGTAGGCTTTAATTAAGGCTAATTAATTGATTGTGCTTTATGTTCGACATTTATCTACTGTATTTGAAAATTATTAAATTATTTTTGCTGTTCGTCGTTTTTTTTTTCAGCATTCTTTTTATTTATTTATTTCTTTCCTTCTTTCCCTCCGATCATTATTTATTCGATCCATGTGCTTAATTAACAAAACATCTTTCATACAAATAAAACAAAAAATTATAAGCATGAAAATCGTGTACCTTATAACTAAAAACATGCAACGTCGACACTTAAAAATTATCAAAATAGATTATAAAAGGCTTGTTCGTATTCATTTTTTTTTTACAAACTGGCGGAGCATCTTTATTAAAGTGAATACACTAGGACAAATGCGAGATTTGATTAAAATCCTAGTATTGAGACACAAAATAACATATGCATTTTCGACTTCCATATAATTTTTAAAAGTGCCGTACGGCTAGCCAATACAGTGTGTCCTTGCTAGTCGTACGTGACTCACGTACGGCTAGAACTTTTGGCTAGCCGTACGGGCCCGTACGGCTAGCCACTTCCAAAAAAAAATTATTCAAAATATAATTTTGTTGTGTCTTAAATGATTCTTAAAAGATAGTGATTGGCCATCTTAAACGATATTACAATGGTTACAATGAACATACGCCATAAAATTGTAAAGGATTAGGCTCAGCCGATCTTTTATTTAACCTGTTAACAATTTATTGGTACGAAAATGGGTCCGTACGAAAATTACAGTGAACGAAAACTTGATACACAGACGTGGATCTGCAAGCTTAATTTCTTTATCATAAGTCAAAACCATCCTAAAAACTATAACACAATATCTGTGTTTATATATTCGTAGGTGAATTTTTTCTATAAGTAGATCTAAGACCAAGAAAAATTTAAATGCAGACAAAAACGATGATCACCTCACCTGTCAATCAGATAACAACTTCACGGTCGCTTTTGGTTATAATTACCCTTTTTAGAACTTTTCATCACGTTGAATCACTACCGGAGTATATCCTTGATTGAATTAAATCACAATTTCTTTCCACTTTCCGCTTTTTCCTTTCCCAATCTCAAAATTTATTTCTCGTATACGTGACACACCTTTCGTATTGTCCGCCATTATTTTGGTTTGGTAAATCATATCACGTGACTAAGATCCGAACATTTACGGAAATAATCGAAGGGCTTCCCGCCAAAATATAAATCTTATTTGACTAACCCAGTCAAATAAGAAAATGCATTTTTTAGAATGGTCAGAAATGTTACGGAGAGCGTTTCTAAGTTGGAAAACTTTGTCAATACTAGTTAAATAATGCATTTGATAACAATAAGGCGTTAATTTGACAATCTGTTTTGATGAATTTGACCAGGAATATAACTTTAAGAGTCAAAATATCTATAAATTAAGACTCTTCTTACTTTTGTTAACAGTAATAAATGTCAATAAGTAAATATCTACTAAGGGTTATGTTGCTATGATAATACAATGAAATAGACACAAAGACAGAAACGTTAGTTGTTTCATAAATACATATACACTTTACCTCACAACCGGAAGGACTAAATCTAGAAAAACAAGAAAAATCTTTGCAAAACAGAGTCTATCCAGAACGCACAAAATCGGCAAAATTGAATATGTAATAGGTTAGATATGATTGAGTCTGTTCATGAAAGTAGATGTTTATGCAAACTACCGTCCACGTAGCACTGCTTTATGCAGAATTCGTACATTAAATTGCTGAAATTAAGATAGATCCGTAGATGTGTTCATACGGTGGTGAACCTTTGATGTGACAATTTCTTGTCATTTCACAAAAAACGGCGTATTGTTACCGTTCATGCGTGTGCCATGAATGAAAAAAAAAAAACGATTGGCGATCCAAAATAAAATGAAATTTTGAAAGGGACTAAAAGGGCGTGGACAATATCTTGCAATTTTCAGTACCATCCATAAACAGGCTTAATCAAACCGAGCCTGTGACATTTTCAATTTTGTCGTTTTGGGCTTTCTTATTTTCTATTTCAGAGGTTTTGAAGCCTGCATATCATAGACAAACCGACAAAAAGTAAAATCAAAAAGCGACTATAAAGTATTCAAGTAATACTAGACTAACCAACGAGAAATAATGATATAAAGCTATTTTCACTTAAATTACTAAATTTAGAAAAAAAATATAGTATATTTAGTACTGCATGTGTTTGTTTTACGTATTTAAGACAATTTATTGTTGCTTTGCCTTGCTTTCCTGTCCTGCTTTGTTTGGGGTCTTCCTAGGCCCCTTACCGCTGGTTCTTGTTGCTTGGTCGAGTGGGTTTGCGTTCATGGAACGTTGATCTTATCTTATCATGTATCATATTTGATTCAATTAAAAATATCCATTATGAAAAGGTACCATCAAATATAAATGCAAAGAGATTTGAGTAAAACATCATATGTAAAATAAATTACGTGCTGGTTTTGGTGAATCATGTCTTCGGCAGTTCATTGTTGTTTGTAATTCACTAAACAAATTTCTAGTGGGCGAACAATACTCCATACACTGAGACAAATGTTATGTTTTTTATAGAAATGACATTTGTTGGGATTATATAGTAAATTATTGGCATCATATAGAAAATGTTCTACTTTGATTCCTTTCTTTTCTATTGTAACTTATAATGAATTTGAAGATGTCAGAGTTAATGATTGTCATACATTTACATAGCCTTTATTACATTTTACAGGGCTGAAATTCTCATTATGATGATGGCCATTGTCATCTTACAGCCACCATTGAAATAACAGGTGTTGCGATACTTATTTATAAAATATATCGATAAATTATATTTAATATTGAATCTATGCGACCGTACCTTAAAATATATCGGTAAATTATATTGAATTTATGCGATCATTACCTTAGCCAAGGTACGGTATAAATATGTAATGTACCTTTTGACAGTCAAAACATGGTGAAAACTGTTGTTAAGTTAAAAGCAGCTACTTAAGATTTGATTATCTAACTTGTTTGTCAAGATATTTATTATTGTTATATGATTCAATAGAATTGCTGCAGACAGTTTTATTGCATGTGTTTTATTCTAATATGTTCTATTGAACGTATAAATGTTGTTATCGCTTGTACAGAAACATATAAATTTGAATTTATTTGAAATTCATCAATTTAATTGTGTTGCAAGTAACATAAAATTGATATTATCAATTTAAAATGTAAAGATATGAAAACCCATTGCAACTGAGTTGTTTTATATTACTTTAAGGTGTATTAAATTCTGTCTCGGAACCAAAATAGAGTAGAATTAATCGTGTTAAGTTTCATTCAAAAATTAGAATACGTTGAAATCTACATTAAACTTTTATTTGATATTTTCAATAACAATTTCTTATCTTATTATGTTCCTTAAACCAAAGGAAATGGTCTATTTTTTAACATGAATGTTAAATTGATGATTGGAAGTCTGATTGGTTTAATTTGCTAACTACTAACTCTCACCGTTGTGAGCTCGGTTTCCCGCAAGGGGCGTGGACTTGCATTTGCCAGTACCGTCCATGAACCGACCCGATCAAACCGAGCCTGCAATATTTTTACTTTTGTCGTTTTTTTTCTTCTTTTTTGTTTTGTTTATTTTTTTGGTTTTTGTATGTATTTTGTTCGTATTCCGGTATCTCTATTTCCAATTTTGTCATGTGAGGATGCTATACAGCTAACTACCGGAACGTCGATGGTCCTACTCTCGTGACCATTCAAGCTTGAAGCACGTATGGGCACCTGGTGACTATTCACCAGCAGAGCCTGAAAGTCGCCATATGACCTATACAGTTGCTGCAACACAAAGATTGGTGATTGTCGGACATGTAAATTATTTTTAACTACGTAAGTATATCAGAAAAAAATTTGAGAAAGAAACAAATTCGTAAACCAATTGAAATGGTGTACAAGTACAACGGGATAAGTAACTGTGATCTACAAAAACAGGAATATAATATATTAAAGAACGAACCACTTTTAAAATTTTTATATTTTGGCTAATTTTTATATTTTATCCTAACCATTTCTTATTACTAATGTTTGGTTAATGACCATTATAATAATCAACCTTTTTAAAGCTCTACTCGACAACGAAAAAATGGGCATAATGACATTTTTACATAAACTGCTGTATTTAATACTATTTATACAACTCTGAGTAAGATCACATAGAAAAATGACGAAAAATGTTAATATTACAATCTCGGTTTGATTGGGGATGTGCATGAAGGATTGTCTCATTTCTCCAGCACTGGCATAAACAGTGTCTCATTTAGGAGTTATGATTGATGATATTATATTAATAGTAAGGACATTAAATGCTAGGATTGTGACATTACAACAAGTTTATTAGAGTATCAGTAACACACAGTAAGCGGTGGAAAGAGCAATCTA